GTTTAAATTATATTAACAGTCCAGCATTTGTTATTTCTTTTCAAATTTGAAACTACGACCAAGGCTTAGGCACTTCCATTGTTTTTTCTTTCTTCCGTGATTGTGCCTAATTCACAATGAAATAGACGGCACGGAAGTACTACAATCGTCGTTTTCTGCCTATAGTAATTAACATTAAGTGACAAATGTCACTTACAACTAATTTCCTAGAAAATCTTGAAAAATAAATTACAATGCATTGCAATAACATTATCCGTGACTTCATAATTCACTTGTTCCATAATAAAATTTTATTAGCAAATTTATCGCCTTAAAAATATATTGATCGATTACTAATTGATGTTGATTAGAGAAGGAGAAAATAAATTGTTTTTAAAGTGTGCATTTTGTCCTGTTTTAGAGCCTATTCGCCGCCACGCATTAACAAAATAATCTGACGTATAGTTATAATGGACAACACGGAACAATGCTCAAGTCCCTCGCGGCGCCCCTGTCTTGGACGTGGACTAGTTTAAGTTTACGACCACTAAGTGCTCAGAGACTAATGTAATTTTTAAATCAGGTTTGTGAATGGAAGGAATAATGAAAATCAAAGGAAAATGGAGAACAATGTAATATAAAAGCGTAGAGGTGTGAAAGGCAATGTATCCATAGGATAAAAAAAAAAGTTCTACGTTGTGTGTCCCCACTATTCCTCCCTCGGATTATCAGATAGTCGTACTGCATCCTTATACCATTGACTTACCACCTATACGCAGGCGTTACTTCACACCGGGACAGTTGTTACAGCTGTACTAAGCAAAGTACGGTCGTGCGTGGAGTACTGCTGCCACCTATGGTTTGGCTGCTAAATACTACTAACCTTGTATTCAAATAGCAAGCGTGGCAAGAAGCTAAAAAAAGGGTTTGGTAATGAGGAAAGAATGGACGTTAGTAAAAATGACACAAATTTAGGTAGCGATTTGGAAGGATATGTAGGGCAAGATCGATTTCGGTGAACGTAATATCTTAAATATGTTGAGGGCTTATCAGTTCCTAGGTTTTCACGATTGCTGCACGTAAATGAAATTATTTCTAAAGAGCCTGATACGCTGGTTTGTTTAAAAAAGAAACTAATATACGTGATGTCGATCCAAACAAATTGATAAATATTACCACGAATAAAGTTCGTGTCTGGAAAGACTGATGGGAGTAGAAGTAGCAAAACCAACATTACGTCATTAGCATAGCGGGTGGCGGTCTATAATCCCAGCCTACCACCAGCTGGAATCAGGCTTGATGGTACGAGCATGTATGAAAGAATAAACAATGGTAAAATGCAGTGAAGCTAAAAAGGTATCTGTTACTTCTGAAAATTCAAATGTGCCAAAGTTTATGATTGTTAGTAAAATAGATACAAAAATTAGAACTTCAACAAAGACTTATGACCCAATTCCGACAATATTTTGCTATGACTATAAATAGCGTCAGTGTCGCATCACCTTTACATGTGGATGCTTGTGCACGACTTCATTAAATTCAGGTCCAAAATTACATGCGCAGCCGTGCTGTATTTTAACAACATTCCAACTAATTGAGTCGAAACAAAAAGAACGATATTCGTTCATTTAACGAATGTTTTAATTTACCTTTGATTACTCATTCGTTGATTTCGGGTGGTGATTCCTGTCCATTTATTTTTATTTATATGGTACAGTTTACAGAAAACAGCTTGATAACGTTATTCGTAAACAACACAAATAAAGACGTCGGTAAATCTTGTTTCTACTACCAACAGTACACGGCTGTAATTAAATGTCGAAAGTACCTCGATCACGAGATCTCCGGCATGTGGGGTGTGGCCTCCACTGAAATAATCCTAAGCCACTCTAACGACTTGAGATGGTTGACTTTCTGTATGTATGTAATGCGATGTAGCATGCCGCGTCAAGCACAAATGCAAAAAGCGGTACTGTTCTATATGAGAACGTAAGTCCGAAAGAATTTGTCACGGTTGACACGGGTGACCATGGAACCTGTAAAGGGCCCGAAATGTCGGTTTGTTTGAAAAAACAAATATACGCGATTTAAATCCGGAAAAATAGTTTCATTTCCTAAACATATTTGTAAGTTGTCGGACTCCTACTTGGTCATGATATACATGGTCAAATGATATTCTGCCTAAATTATAATTATTATGTGAAATTCTCGCTACACCACGAACTAAATTAAACTAAATTCTTCTCTTTCGAATATTGTTATAGAGTAACTTCGTTATTTGTATCAGCCTCACTAAATCATACATTTTCATATCAACTTATGAGGAAATGAAAATACAAATTTTCTCTAGAACTAAGTCGTTTTTATTGTTTTTTCAAGGAAAGCAACGTTTCGGGCCATCGAATAGGTCCCAGGACTTAGAGCAACAAATATGCGGAATTTAGATCAAAATAGTTACATTTCAAGTTCCAAACCTAAGAACTAAACTAGACACGTATGTTAATAGTGAGTTCCTTCTCTTTCTCAATTAGTGTGGGTTTGTATCGGGCTATAGATACGTTGTCTGCGAATGCCTCGAGCTGTTTAGGTAAGAATGAGATATCGCTTCAGTTACTAGTGACCGCATATATTCTATTGGTGTTGTCGCTTTTTGGCAAATTTGTTGCGCACCAAACTTTTTCACTCTCTACCCAGGCCGCGAAATTGTGCTGTTAGCACATCATAAATCGTGTGTAAGATTACAGCGGTAACAATGTAAGACTCTCTCCCATCAATATCTAAATAAGAAATAGGAAAGAAAGAAAAATCTAATATTAATTAAACGTCCAATCGAATAGGACTTCATTGTTATCGAATTTTTATAGGTTCATTATCAGTAACTTTTGCTACAATATGCTGCGTATTGTTTTAAGTGTTATAAAAATTAGTTCACGATAAGTATTTTGAATCACCGAACCGAAGTCATTCGAAAATGAACAAAGTGAAAATGTTTGTCAATAAACAATTATTTATTGATATACTATTAGCAGATGGTAAAAATTATTACAAATAAATATTTAGGTGATTAAAAGACGTACTACACATTACAACAAGTGTAAGAATTTAGGTATCTGTGTAATCTATACGTACGTATAAAGGGTGTCATAAACTTTAAAAATAATAAATTATAATAATTACCTTATATATAGTGACGCCGCTGGACACAGGCCTCCTGTCAAAAACTTCACATATATCATGAAGTTGGCAGATATGTGCTTGTTTCTGCACGGTGTTTTCCTTCATCGAAAAGCTCATAGTAAATTTCAAATTAAATTTTGCACATTTATTCCAAAAAACTCAAGAGCTGCAAGCCCGGAACCCACGACCCTTTACTTGAAGGCGTTAGGTTATTACGAATTTTCGGCCGCGTCGATAGCCGAACGCATGCATTGAGTTTAATGCGACAATTGTCGTAAAACATGATCGGGCTATGCCGATTCCGCGGGAAATTGTAACCAAGAAAATTCGTTTTTATAGGTAGCCAAAATGTGTCGAAAAACGCCCGCCTGGCTCAAATTGAGGTGTGCTGATCCCACAGAACAATAAATACAGTAGAAGTGGCTAGTTAGCGGAGCCTGCCAACTTATAGGTCTCGAAAGACCTATCTGAGCTCAGTCCGCCGTTTTCGCTTTGTATGGTATCATTTTTCACGCAAATTCTCTAAAATCGCAGAAAAATGTCTTATTGTGCTGTTATGGAGTGCAAAAATGATAGCTGCACCAAAAATATTACCCGTAGTGGTATTTTATAATCATCGGAAAGTCTTAATTTAATAAATTTTCAATTTTCTGATTATCTATTCATTCAAATGTTAATCGTTCGTCGTAGTCCAACTACTGGCCGCAAGATGGCAGCTGTTGTCTAAAATTTTAATATAAAATCAAAACGTCGTAACTTGCAATCAAGTTACGACTAAAGTATTGAACTTTCAATGACATAGCGACAGGGTAAAGTTTTAATTATATTAGCAATCCAGAATTTGTTACATCTTTTTAAATTAGAAAGTATGACCAATCATTATCAAGATTTCGTAGTGTTTATCATTTTGTTTGTGTGCGTTTTAGCGACTTCGGTTCCGATGTAATCGAGGCATAAGGCACTTCCATTGTTTTGTTTCTTCCGTGGCTGATCCCAACCCTAATATATGGAACAGAATGTTGAGTATGGCAGAAGAAACTTTGCTTAAGTAAGGTGAATGCTGTAGAAATGAGAGCATGTATTTTTGAGGACAATCACATATAAAAGAGTATTGCGGTATAAAAGATGGTGTTGTGAGAAGGATGGAAAATGAAATGTGCCGATGGTTTGGTCTTATATAAAGGATAAATACAATGACCTAAATTTGTACAACAAATGTGAGTGGAGAGGTCGACCTTTGCGTACATAAACAGAACAAGGAAATCCTTAAAAATAACAGATGAAAAATAACAAGGACGTGTGTGAATAGATTACTATATGTATGTGTGTGTATATCTCCTTATATATATCTATCCTTATCTTTTAGAAGGAAACTATAAACGCTTAGCTATGGATAATCTTATGATTGTATACGATTATACATATAATTTTAAAGTTTTTATTGAATGTCACGACATTTGACCACGATGTTCGATTATTTTTGTGAAATTACTCCACTAGTTTGTTCTAATTATTAACACAAAGACCAGGCTCGATTCGAACCAGCGTCTTCTTGCAAACCGTGCAAGATGCTATGCTAACTAAGCCACGGAACGAACCAGCGAATCTTACAAATTTTTCCGAAATTTCCAAAAAAATGAGTGAAGAAACGGTTTGCCAGAAGACGCTGGTTCGGATTATACATTTATTCATGATTTTAATAATATATGTCAACTGTTGTTCCGATCGTAATCTCATTGTATAATTTATTTATAATACTGTCAACTGTTTTCCCTATAATTTACAATCAGTTATAAAGATAACGTTCCACGGAGTTTCAGAGGTTTATCAAATTACTCAGACTGCAATTGTCATTCGGACATAATGGATATTCATGTAATATTTATCATATTCAGCGTTGTACTGAACACAGTTAGTAGCGGGAAACACGACAAATACGCAGGGTAAGCTTTTTGGATTTAGAGCCGTCCTAATGTAACTTCAGTCCATGCCACTAAATCACGGTTGAATTTAAACGCTAGGTGCAAAGGGAGACTTGCCGATGTCTGTACATACACATGCTAAACAATACAATATGAAAGTTGTTAATGAGCTTAAACTGGTTTTGCGTGGCTTGCACACAGGTTTTCATAGTGATACCATCTCTGAGGTCCCGGGTTCGATCCCCGGCTGGCTTAATGTAGAAAAACTAACTTTTCTATATCTGTGGTTCTAGTGAAAAGGGATACAAGTCAAAAAAGCTAACTTTACAAGGAAACGCGAAAAACACTTAACGCTTAATATCTATATATAATATATTAAGTTTTAACTGTTTTCCGCTTGCAAAATTGGCTTTTTTTTTGTACCCCTTTCACTAGAGCCACAGATATTGTCTTGAGTCCGGGTGTTGTAACGTCGTTGTTTCCGATTTCCATAATACAAGTGCTTTACTTACTTACTCTGGGATCGGAGTAACGTATGTGGTGGTGTTTAATATTTATTTATTATTATTATTATATTACGTGACTAGGGAATCCAATCCCGCATAAAAATTTCAATCCCGCAAGCCGCGGACCCTCGGGACTTGCGGTACAGCAAATAAATCATATTTTTTGTTCCAATTAGTGAATACAAATTCACGATTTGTGACGTATTGTGTGAAATATAAGACGATTAGATTTACAAAAAAAATCCTAATTGACTTTATAACGTTGTGTGTATAATGTATAATAATCTTCTTAATTAATTGATTTTTTTGATAATTTTTCCGAAGAATTGACAAAGTATTCATTAATATTAATAAATAATAATAATGTTTGTTATTACTATTTTAAGGTTCAACTTTTAAATTGGATATTGTATTTTTGCTTAGAAATAATAATAGGTTTCTGAATAAAATTGTTTATTCGCTTGTTAATGAAGTCAAGAAGAATAAATTACTTAGGTATAAAACATAGTCTGCGGGACTACGAGAAAGAAAAAAATGGGCAGTTTTCTTCAAATAAAACTTTCTTTTAAAACCCGCAAATCCCGCGGACTCCGCGGATCCCGTTGATCCCACATTTCCAATCCCGCAAAATTGGTGCGTTTGCGTGATTTGATTTACTAGACGTGTTGTAAGTTACAATTTTCAATAACACATTTTGACAGATTAAACAACTACGTATCACTTAGTGTGTCTCACACTAAGTGATTATTTACACAACAATTATTTAATCTTAATATAAGTAATTAAAATGTAGTCCTCGTAGCACTCCAAGGGTTTCTAGTTCCTATGTTGAATGTACAAAGAGTCGAACTCAGGATACTTCATTTTTCAATCCTGTCGAGCAGTCAACTGCTTATTAGCATCACTGTCCGTAATTGCGAGATTTAAAACACTACAGTTGCCTTGTGGAAATAAAAAAAGAACTGAGTTATAGTCCATCTGTTTAGGTACTTAAATAAACGTAAACAATCTTGAGATGTCTATTTAATGAAATATACATTTATAAAATGATTTTCCCTTACCTTCAAATACAAAATACAAATACTTAGCGTCATATGAAATTGCATGCCTATTTTTATACCTATTGATTTGTAAAGCATGTGTTTCAATAAAAAGATGTATCAAGATTGTTTACATTTAGTTAAGTACCTAAACCAATGGACTATAGTGATTTTTAACCGACTTTAAAATAAGTTCTCAATTCGACTGTATGTTTTTTGTATATATGTTACGCTTTAACTCCGGCCTTTTTTATTTGTGAACTGATTTTGATGATTCTCTTTTTATTGGAAAGAGGGTACCTCAGTAGTGGTTCCATTTAAATTTCATGAAAATATTCCACCTCAAACTGGGTGGTGGCAAACTAGCGGATGAATCCGATGTCGCGCACTTTCTGGTAACCGATATCAATAAAACTTGGCAAATATATGTAATTCCAAGAGCTTTTGTGCTTGGTTTTTTATGGTGTTTAGTTTCTTATTATTTCCTCGCATTCGCAAGCAGGAAAGCACTGTATTTCTGCCGCAAAGCAATAACGTGAGCATTAGGTACTGCGTTCCGGTTTTAAAGAGTAAGGACATTAACATTAAGGACGTTACAGGCTCATGGGACTTGTCAACTTATGTTTCGGGGTGACGGGCGCAGTGGCAGTGCCTCTCAGATCTTTGCGATTTAAAGCTCTGAGGGGCACTGCAACTGTCATTGATATGCGTGACGTTTATCACGAGCCGTACGACTTATTCGTACTGTCACTTAGTATCATAAAAAAATATAATTAAATTTCGCGGGAAGCTGAAACGGAGATTGCGTGTCTCGTGGATACAAAGCACTTATAATACTACCCTCGATCTTGTTACTCAAACTCATCAAGCAATACTTTTATAAATTTAATGGCCTCTGTCATTGACTTACAAATAAATGGACGACGAGTCTAATACAAAAACCACGAAAAAAATGTCCCAAGTCAACCTATTTAAACGTAGTGACATGTAAAGGAATATGAACAAGCTAAAACGTTGAATTTAAATTGTAATGTCATCGCAGTACTGTCTAATTTTGCTTGCTTCGCTGTCAGTCGAACAAACGAAGACTAAAGCGTGAATGACGCTCTGTATACGATTTTAACGCCCTATGAGTTCGGACACTTTTTAGCGCGGACCCGACGTCCATATAATTGTAAGTCAATGGCCTCTGTAATAATTTTCTATAAGTTTGTCTGTATATCACTTCCAGGTACACAGTCCATGGCGTACACCTTCGAGACGTGCAAGACCAGAGGGTGCTATACGAGCTCCAGCACAAACTGAACTTGGATATGTGGCGATATGGTGTTCCGGGAGATAGACCGTCGTTGGTCATGCTTTCGCCAAAACAAGCTGATGTAGTTCTTAATGAGCTGGACAGATATGGCATTAAGCATTATTTGGATGTTGCTGATGTGTTTTGGTAATTGAAATATATTTTTTTAACTCTTTAAGTTTCATTATATTCTATGAATGTAATTGAAATTGTCGTCGCCACAAAGAAACTGCAAACCAGAAAAGTGTGGTTTTGAGTTTTAAATAGACACAACATGGCCAACAATGGTCTAGAAATGGTTGTGGAGGAAGCAAAGCGTGTAGTGCGAGTAGGTGGTATACCAATAGGTACCATAAGGTCTATTTTATTCCTCAACTTGTTTGTAACACCTCCCAGTGTACAGTAAGCGCAGTGAAAATGTATGACTGATACAGATATTTGTCTGTGTAAACGATACTTATCCAAGTAACAAACACGGTTTTATTCGCAGGAATCTTGCGGAATTTGATCAAAATCTTATAAGCTATCGTCGTAGTAGGAGTGAACGACTTGTACCTTTCGAAGACTACCCGACTCATGCCGAGGTGAAACAATCGGTTTTAGTTTTTTGACTGTTGAATAAGTATTTCACCTTGTTATTGAGTTTTGAATTTTATTTTGCTTACAAATATTTACATTATGTCGACATTTGTCATTTGCAGGTGAACGCATATTTGGAAAGAGTAGCAGCACAGTACCCCGAGATTGTTACATTAGTAACAGCTGGCAAAAGCTGGGAAAGTCGGGACATCAAATACTTGAAGGTGATGTAAATAAAGATTTCAAAACACTCCAAGTAACTTCTACGAAACAGCTTCTGCTGATGAAGCCCGCTTGATGGCTCAGGCTTGATGACGATGTCGTAAAACACTTATTAAAGGAATCTTATAATTTTTTTAGATATCAACAACAAACTTCACGGACTCATCCAAGCCGATATATTTTATGATGGCTATGCTCCACGCTCGTGAATGGGTAACCACTCCAGTTACTCTTTACTCCATACATCGACTGGTTGAGAACCTCAGAAATGAAGACAGGGATCTCCTTGAGGGAACCGATTGGATTATTTTGCCAATGGCAAATCCTGATGGATATGAATATTCTATCTCTGATGTGAGTAGAATCTATTTCAAAGGAAAACCGGTTGTATTACTGTGTAGAGTTGCCTGTTTTTGCATTCGAAAAAAATTATTTGTAGTTTGAATTTAATTTTGGATTTTAATGTAAATTGTCTGAATGCGTAAGATTCAACTTTTATGTTTCAAAAAGCTTTATCTTTCATGTATCTGTAATATTTATTTTCTTTTTACTTGCATATTTTGTTTTGTAATGCTAGGCCAATAAACCCTATGTGAACTTCCATAAGGACATAAAAATAAATATTACATTCACTTTCAGGATCGAATGTGGCGTCGCACGCGCTCTAACCGTCCCGAAATCAGCACCACCTGCGTAGGAGTCGACGGAAACCGCAACTTTGATGCTTTATATCAACCTTCTAATAACCCCTGTAGCCTAACCTTCCCCGGCCCTCACGCGTTCTCTGAAATAGAAACTCGCATAGTCAGAGACATACTTCATAAATATGTTGACAGGATCCAAGTCCATTTAGATATCCACAGTCATGGGAACTATGTTCTCTTTCCTTGGGGAGATGGAACACTGACACCAAATGCGGCACAATTATTTCATGTTGGATCTGTCATGGGAGCCGCTATGGATTCCATGAAACTGCCAAGCGCAGGGTTCTATAGAGTTGGAAATAGTGCACTTATCTTGTAATACGCTTCAGGAGCGTGCGATGATTACGCGCAGGTAAACTAAATATGATATGTAGCTTTAGAACAGTCTTTAAATGTCTACAAAAGAAATTTAAAAGTATCGAAATGTTGCCGATCACTTTCTCCCAATCAATTAGTTTCCTGGCAATTTATACCAGCGATTTTCACCCAAAACCCAAACAATTTATTTAAACTTGGATTTTGCTATCACTTTTATTAGATTACTAATTATAACCCCAATTCCGTTTCGAAGAAGGCTTCAGTTTGCTATCGATTGCCATGCACAGGAATGAAAATTTACAATCGGTCTTGATTTTCAGCTGGTAGGAGTTCCGTTCGCATTCACTCTGGAGCTGCCCGGGTACGGCAGCGCCTTCCTCGTACCGCCTCAGTTCATCGAGCACATCAACGCTGAGACTTGGCAAGGCATCGCAGCCAGTGCCAGAGTTGCTAAGATACATTACAATGAAAGAATTAAGGGATAGATAATGTCTGTATGATTATAAAACTATGATTTTTTTTAATTTATTGATTTCTTACTGTTTATTACATACAATAAATTAAATGTGATAGAGATCTTGTCTAATTGCATGTGTGAACACAGCTTACAAAAACAACATAAATAAAATGGCTAAATGTGAAAAAGTAATACAAACAAAAACAATAAATAAATACAAGAGAACCTGTCAAGACCACTGTTTCTGGCAGTATCAGACTAAACAGGAAAAAAAATTAATTAAGGCTTACCAATATTGTTTGGCGATATCTCTATAATGACTGTCAAAATATATCTTTAAGCTCATTATGAACGTTTTAAATTCAGCAAAGAACAAACTGCCATGAGACGGTGGCACTAAAGGTATGATAGCAAATCTAGAGTATCTAGAAGGAATTCTGTAACTAAATTAAACGAGCAGTTGAGCAGGACAGTGTATGTACAGTCGGTGCTCTCACTTTGTATTCACTATTTGTACTAAGTGCTATACAAATAGTGGATACCTAAATGAGGGCACCGACTGTACAAATGCCAAATATTATACAGAAATACTAAGTCCAAAAATTCCCCTCTATTATCAAGCGGTGACATTTTAAAATGCAAAAGTATATCGGAATACGACTGCAAATTTCTAGCTAACCCTACGGATTCTCAAATTCCTGAAAAAAATACGCTAATACCTCGTTGACATTGCTGATTATTTGATTGCTAACAAGAAACACCATAAACTTCAATCATATGTTATTTAAAATTAGTCTAATTGATCCTTCTTTTGCTGATGAAACGCATAGTCGCATACAATCATGTGAAATAAGAATCTACCTTTATAACCGAGGTATGTACGTAGTTGCATAAGCTTGCACTACTATTACCGAATTCGGCGCCCGTCTCGCAAGACAAACGCGCGGCTTCCTCTATGAATAATTCACACAAATCTGATCTTCCTGCTTTCTTGGCAGCCTGCGAGCTTAACAACGAGAGGCAATAAGAGCGGAAGAGGCCGCGGAAGCGAACGTACCAATAATCAGACTGTAATTTATGTCAATACATATTTATGTACTTTCTAAAATGTTTTAGAAAGAAAACTTGGTTTGTTTGTTTGTGCGTACTCTAGCCTTGACCTCATCGTCACTTTCCATCATGTGAGATGGACGTCATATGCGCACTTGCATTTTATAAAAAAAAAACAAATATTAATTGCGACTTAGTACTCACTATACTTACTGTACTCATACTTTAACATATAACAAGACATCTATTACTTATTCAATTAACAATTATTTGAAAACGTTAAAATCTGGCTAGATTTATTTATTTTAAATAAATGAATAGTTTGCTTTAAGCTAATAAAAGGAAGTCAGTTATGCTATCAGATCAAACGACCAGCATCACTTATTTTTATGTGACATGTATTAAGTAACAACTGGTACCCAATTAAAACTCCTAGCAACACAACATTTTTAATTTTAGTTTAAATAATTTAAAAAAACAACTTTACACGGACAGCCATTAAATTTTTATTTATTACTTGTTATTTCTTAATGTAGGTTATTACTTGGTGTACACTCCGCATGTTAGCTTTATGCAGCAAGTAAACAGCTAGCTACAGATGAGGACTGAAAATCAGCAACGCTAAGTCTTTAACCTTTTTGTGTAATTCCGATACGGTAATGTGTGTTTCGGTAAATTCATTAAAATGAGGTAGGGTAAATCTGTGGTAATTACCACACAACGTGACCGAACCCTAAAATTTGAGGATAATATGGTGAATCGCGGGATTACCGGGATTCCTGAACCACGGTACCGGGTTTGAAGTTACTTTGAAGTTGAATAATTGAATAGTTCCACAAGTTCAATCGAGATATTGAATCGAACTAAAGACTTGTCTTACCTACTTATTAGTCGAAAACGTAAAAAGGGATTGTCTGTCTTGTTTTTTTAATTTTAATTATTTTCTACTTCCGATGCAGTGATGTATTTTATAAATACATTACATCTGGCTTTGGGAGCACCTGGTGTCCAAAGATGAAAGTCTACATTAGAAAAAATAATCTAAATTCTCTTTACATGAGACCTGTGCCGAGCAAAATTTTTCATCGTTGTTTACAATTCAATTGCGAATTAACTTGCCGCAAAGCTACTTCGTCCAATAAATTGCAAAAATGAAACTGCAAAAGGTTAAAATCGTCCTGCGCCATTCAACCCCCGTATTTTTCTCTGAACATTTTGTCCGCGTAATGAATAACGTTCCGTAGATTCGATTAAAATTGAAGACATGCGGACTACGATACCGGGAAATCGTAGAGCTGCACTCCATCTAGTTTTATGTGCGAGCAATAGTGACTATTAGTGTTACCGTTATTGCGCTCATTTTTCGGAACAAACTCTAAACATTTATTTGTTCACCACAAACTAAATCTATAAATGCTAAGAACAACAACAAACGGTAATTTATAAATTAGTTTGTAGCCCACAATGCCATCTATTAACACGTACATCAGAAAACAGTTTTAACACATGATCAATACTTGAGAACGGAAAGAACTGAATTAATTTGATGCCACATTGATGATTTGATGCACAGCCATTGAAATAATATAAACTACTTCCAGGCTATTGATCAAAGCCATCTAGACATAAGACGGGATTTTGACCTTTCCCAGAGTATGACCTATCGTATGGAGATTAGCATTCCTCTTCAGTTATCGGTCTGTGCTAAAACACAAGCAAGACAATAGACACTAAATGTAAAGATACTTGTGTGGTGCCAGCTGCGGCAATAAAACAGTCACTCACTCAGCGTTAACTGGAAAACGAGCCCATAGTTCAAGGTATATTGTAAAGAAAGCACGTATAGCGTGGACCGACATTGACACCGTGACTATCAAATAGTAATCGCTACCAAATAAAACACACTTGCTTGTATATTTATTCAATGAAAACAATAAATTTTGCAAGGACAAATATTAATAACTTTGAATTTGTTAAAAGTGATCGCCGAAATACGAACTGTTTTACCAACACCCCGTATCAAAATAGCCCACATTATAGAGCAGTAAACATCTATAGCAAATTACCTGACACTAGAAATAACAAAAAAGAAAAAAAGGAACTCCACGTTTAGTAACAAGCACAAACTAATACTAAATCAGAAATGCTGTAACTCGGTTAACAAATATTTTGAAGACGACTCTTTGCGACTTAAATAAGTGTATCAAAACTTTTATTACCCTTTCATGACACTTCACCATTAATTTCGGCAATAAAAGAAAATTCTTTATCTATACATTTGTAACATCATTGTGATAGGCTTAACATGGCGCTGGCTGCCTAATTAATTCCAGGCGGGCCTTTTCAGCCCACCTGAGAAAATATGGCGGTTGCTCAAGTGTTGAATTAAAATGCTCCCTGCCGGAGAACGGGTTGACATTGTGTGCTTGTACACGGGCAGTAGAGACGCTTGCGGTATTTTCAGAAATTTAATTGGACGTAGCAAACTCATAGGGCTCATAAACGTGAATCGTCTTCCCGTGGATGTTTTTCAAATGGTCCGTATCAAGAAGCAAATAAATTAGGTCAAGAATTCTTTTTGCTTGACTGTTATGGACGAGCTTTTGGGCAAATAACAAATATTGGATTATATGGGCCTCTCTGTGCATTTCAGGTGAATTTATGGACCTTTTTGCTGTTTATCTCTGAAAAAGTCGCATTTCGTGGAAGATCATCTTAATAATGAAAGTAATTTTCATAATTACATTTTACTCTCTTTGGGATTGCATTGAAGTAAAGGCAGTTAAAACTTCCAGGTCATAGAAACAGCGAACAGAATATCCTTTGTTAGTTTGCAGGTGTACAGCTGAACAAAATAAACGTCCGCGTCCAAACCGCAGATCTCATCAAATATGTTCTGAAATATACGACCTACGAGGTGCGCAGTTAATTAAGCTATCCTTTATTATAATCGAGTTGACGCCTTCGTCTTTGCGAGCCCCAACACCTGGCAGCAAAAATCATGTTCTGAGAATTATATTGTTGGAATAAATTTCGACTATACTTGTACCTTGTGGGTGGACCGAGCAGCGCAAGGGCGTTCGTTATGTTAATTTTTGGGGGAGGTTTGTGTCCAGTATCGATGTCGATGATACTTGTTCTGATTTCTTCAACATTTAAACAGTCTGCATCGTCATCCCATTTACACGTCACACTGCTGGGCATGGGTTGGGACTTCTTCTTCTTCCTCTAGGTTTCATCACAATATTTTCCTTCACCGAAAACTCTTGGTATTTCAAATGAAATTTCGCATATAAGTTCCAAGAAACGCAGTGGTTCGAGCCCAGATTTGAACCCACGGCCTCCGCTTGAGCGGTGGCTGGTCAAACCATTTGGCTACCACGGCCTAACAAGGGTTGTTTAACGCCACAAAATAGTTAAACCAAGTATCATTCCTCAATTCTGAATAACTAATATAAATAAAAATAAATATAACCTATGTTAGCGATGCCAGTCTTGTCTCAGCATTTAACAACGTTTAGTGTACACAGTAACAGACAAACTACACAATAGTTATAGCAACTTATATAAACTACATTAAGCGTCCGACGGACCACGGCGATACGAGTATAATTAGGTCTTTAAAACCCCGCTAGCATTTAAAGTAGAACCTCTACGTGCCCACGACCAAGACGTACAACAAGATCATATCTGTTCTGTGTGTAGATAAAATCTTGTACTTTCTGAAAAATATATATTATTATTTCGGATATCTGTAAGTATAAGGTATTTTTTGCAATCATGAGTACATTTTAAAATTTTCAAGACCTAACATGAGCACGTTACTATTATCAAAAATTGCTCAAAATAAAAGGAACTTAAGTATATCTAATATACAATAGAAACTGAAACAAACATTCACATTGTCATTTTCATTATTAATTTTTTATTAATTAATTTCTATTACCTTTTAGTCATTAAGTCATTATTATCAAATAATTTTATTTTGATAACTCTTGCAATGAATAGACGGTTTTTTAAAATAAGAATTAATACATGTTTATACTTTTCTATATTGTT